TTCATTAATTCCCAAAATAAATTACCAACAAAAATATACTGTCTGATTCAATTTATAATTATTGGTTCTGATTAAGGAATTTTTTTTCAAACTTAGTTTCCATAATTTCTTTAAAAAATGTCATGTAGGTTAGAAGCCTTTAGGAATAACTTGCAGATCAAAGATGTATGCATTCCTTATTTTGTGAAGCACCAAACTGAATTATCAAAGATAACAAATGCTTAGCCAAAGCGTATGCTGCACACATCAGGGACATTGTGGTTAGGTCTCAAGGATAATATAGGATATCCAAAGATTTGATTGATTCCAGGCAATGATAATTCATTAAGCCAGTGTTTCTCAACCACTTTTATTTTTTTAAGTAATTCACCCCATGCAAGGCAGGAGTACCACTAGCACACAAGGAGCTAGAGAGTTGAGAACAAGTGTAAAGAGGCATGTTTGAGGAAAGGACACAGAGGAGGATGGGGAACAAGTTCAAGGTATCAGATGTCGATTAAGATTACACTTGAATATTTGAAGATTATAGTTATCAGGAGTACCAAGTAAGGGGAAGGGAGTTCCACAGATGGGAAGTGTGAGAGAAGAAGCTGTTTGGATAGAAGTGATGGTCACATTTAGAATGCACTTGTAGAATAAGTAAAACTGGGAGCATGCTTTAAATTTTAATAGAGAAAAATTATTCATGAAATTTGAAAATATGAAAATAATAATGAAGTCTCCAGAAATTTTGAATGTTAGGCATTATATATAATAAATGTTAGGCACTATATATAATAAATGTTAGGCCTTAAATATAAAGATTAGTGGTACAGGTTTTTATAGAATCGAATTTATAAAGTATTTACTATTTTTTGTAGAGGCTGATAATGACCTATTTAAATCCCTTGAGGAAGGCAAAACGCAAAGGATTATCCACTCTTCCTTAAAGATTAAGGAATTTAGCATCCAGTCTAAAATATCAAATGACAAAACCTTGACTTAGACATGGAAGACATATGCTTGGTGTCTCTAGCTTTTTAAAAATAAAGATATTTAAATTATGTTATATAGGAATAAAGTGTCGCAGCTAACACTAGAGTTTGAACATTGCCAGAGAGCAAACATAGGCAATCCCATTATTAAATTAAGTAGACCACATGACCATAGAGGAAATGCATAGGTAGAAATTAGTATGACGTCTAAATGATCTCCATTTCTAGTCTATCCTCTATATGGCTCACTATTTCTACTCTATCCTCTATTACTATATGAACTACTATTCTTTACTCTATTTATTATAGTATTCCTCTATTCAGATCACTATACAGATTATTGTTCAAGCGAGTATTATTGAGCAAGTATCATTAGTTTGTGTAATATTTGAAGGCATCCGACACCAGTATTGTTCAACAGCGTACTATAGTTGTATCTGCAATTACAAAGTCTCTACTACAATGAGTATTGCGAAAGTGATAATGAGTGTTCGTTGACATCACAAAAAGATACAATTCATAAATTACTCTTCTGTTAACTTTGGGTGCACCTGGCTACTTTTCAGGGTGCATTAATGCACCCACGTGCATTGGTTGAGAAATGCTGCATTAAGCTGATATGTAATTATAACATGAGGAAGTGATATCTACATGTTACAAATCCTTCTGTCTACTGAGCATTGAATTAGGGATTAAATTGTAACATGATCTAAAACAATTGTTTAGTATTTTCTCAGTAAGGGTGCAGTGAAAAGATTCTTATATACTAAGAGCACCTGAATTAAAAGAAAAAAGAGGGACTGCTCTATTAAGATATTAAGTAACTAAAGGTAAATTTGAAAATCATTTATTAAGATGGTGGTAGATGTGGTACAAGGCTGAATGTGTGGTGCACTTTATGCAGATGATGGCAATAAACATTGATACACTTACTACAAACAAATACCTTTCTTTTTTGGTTCTTAAATTTTGATAGCAATCCAAATATCAATAAAATCAACATTTTTTTGTTTGTTTATTAAATGTTAATGGACATCGAAAGGAGCATATATTTTATCATATATACATATATATTATGAAATGGACAAAGTCCGACAATTTATTTTCATGGCCAAATTGGTAAAGGCACGTCAAGCTAAATGACGGTTCTGTATGGGATACAGGTTTGAATCCTGTCGGAGGACAAATATTTTCTGTGAAAATTTCTCAGACATTCAGGCTGGTAAATGTTGTTTAATACTGTTTATTATAAACAGAGCATTTACTTAAATATTTGTATCTATGAAAAGAATGTATAAACATAAAGATGTCTTATATATATATATATATATATATATATGTGTGTGTGTGTGTGTGTGTAAATAAATATTCTCAAAATGAGTGTATCTGTAGAAGAGACAAAATGAATAAGTAGAGACAAGAGAAAAAACTATACTTAACCAAGATGTTTCATCCTCTGAGGGACTATATCATTGCCTTCATAAAGTCTCTCAAAAGACTATATACATCAGCTAAGTATAGTTTTTCTTCTTGTCTCTTTTTATTCATACACACACACACGCAAGCAGAGAGTGCGATGGATAAATTGTCATCTAAATTATACAAAAATGAAAACAACACTGACATCTAATTTTAACAGATATATTTACCAAAATTGCACAGAAATATCTTGAAATACTAAAGAGTAAATCAATCACAGCTTCCAGATGATTTTGGAATCCTCTACAATTCTTCTGGATGATCTAGTTTATCCTTGTCTTTAATTCATCTTTGGTGTTACAAGGAATTTTGTTGGTCTTTTGTTTATTTGCACCCGACACATAATAATCAAGGGGTTTGCAATCTGGCCAGATGTAAAAAGTTATGTAGTCATAGAAATTGTCTGACAGTCATGACTGGATCCTCCTGCTTGTGTGGCATGGTGCAGATTCCTGTTGTCAAACACAGCGTCTTCAAGCAACCATCCTCTTTACACAGGGCTGCACTACCTCTTCAAAGCATTTGATGTAGACCTCTGTGTTTGAATCTTAGGCAAATGAATGTAGGAAGACGAATGGAGGCATAACATTGTCAACACTAGTGGTCACTCCAAACACCTTCATAATCACCATTAGACTCATCCAACTCTTTCTGAATACTCTGCACTGTCTTCAGACTGACACCCAAATACTTGGAAGTATTTGTAATAGAGCATCCAATGTGAATTCCAAGAAGTACAGCATAGCATCTCCAAATGTCTGGTGGAGTGAATTGCATCATTGGGCTCATATTTTTAAAGATAATGCCCAACTGACCCTATTATATTGTGCAGTTTAAAAATTTACCCATCTCACCCTATTTATATATATATATATATATATATATATATATATATATATATATATATATATATATATATATGCATGTTCAATATACAATTCTAAAAATTGGAAGTGTTGAGCTAGTTAAGAGCTAAAATATTATAAACACTAATCTTAATGGCAGTTTTTTTTAAGTTAATTTCAACTTGTTTATAATAACTGAATTATTTGCATTTAAAAGAAATATATATATATATATATATATATATATAAAGAAGAAATTACTGAAAGTAATTAAAACTCACCTGAAGTGAGCTGAATGTGTAATGCAGTAAAATATATATATATATATATATATATATATATATATATATATATATATATATATATATATATATATATATATATATATATATATATAAACACACACACATATGATAAAGGATATATATATATTTATACATACATATATACATATATATGATAAAGGATATATATATATATATATATACATATACATATGATAAAGGATATATATATATATATATATATATATATATATATATATATATATGATAAAGGATATATATATATATTACAAATGAGATGAGAACAAATAAAATATAAATTCAAATGTTCAGAACATTAATTTAAAAATAGGGCTTAATACAATTGTAGAGCAATAATTCTTTATTATAGATATTACATTCAAACATATATGTAAAACTGCTACATAAATGCATTCATGTTTCAAAACATGAATGGATATATGTATATAAATGTATATATATATATATATATATATATATATATATATATTGATAAAGGATATATATATATATATATATATATATATGGAATGATTTCTAAGCCAATGGAACAAGGCAAGATTTCAAAAAAATATACAAAAAATATACAAACTGTAAACCAAAGACTTAAAGGCATTGTTGATATATACGACATCAGAATTTGAATTACAAGATCTTAAAGCCTTCTCTCACCATGCTTAATTATATTGTACAACAGTTGTAATTTCCTCATAAAGAAATAAAAATATAAAATAAAATAAAAAAATATTTTATTTTTTTACCACAACTGTAATTTCTCACAATTAAAAAAATTAACGCGTTATGTAGTTCAAATGAAGATCCTTGTTCAAAAAAGTTAGCAATTATGTAGAAATTGTTTTTTCAGCTGAGGTTTTTGGATCAGTTTATAATTTAAAAATAATTATTTATTTTCAGAGTACTTGCATAGTAAGTAAAAAGTATTCAATGGTAGGCATATTTCTGAACTTTCATTATTTAGTCAGCTCGACTTTTCAACACTTCTGCCTGTTCATCATTAAGCATACTGTCAAAAATACATAACAACATTTTATATATATATATATATATATATATATATATGCTCTTGAAATAATTAGATTGAGCTCTCAGAGAGGAAGGATTGATTTTATAAACAGTGGCTGCTGCTGCTAATGCAATGCTCTTCAACTAGAATCGAGCTTTCCTAGCCACTGATGCCTTTTGTATAGTAAAAGCATTAAAATTTCCCTTACTCTCTGCTGTGCGATGACAACTTGGGGCTAGAATCTCTGACTGATGTCAAACTGGTTGGGTTTTGAACCCGGCTTGAAGCAATTGGAAGTCTAGCCATACTGATGAGCTGTGATACAGCAAACCAGTCTCTCTGTGGATGACTATTAAAGAGTAACATATAAGGCTTACTTACATTCCTTTGTATCCTGGTTGCAGTCTGGTTCCTGGAATCGGTCACAATGGAAGTGCAACAATTTCTCTTTGAACTGCAAATATTCCTGTTTATTGCACAAATCCCTGTTGATTTTCACCTTAAGCATCTCATCTGTGGCCTGAACCTCAATGTCATAGTGTTTCATTGGTTCCATATGAGGAGTCTGTTTTACTGGAGCAGCTGTTGTGGTTAGTTCTTCAATGTCTTTTTTGACAGAGCCGAGTTTTGGAACAACAGGCTTGGTGTCTGCTGAAATAGAGAAAATATCAAGAACAAAAATATGAGAATTACAAATTTTATCAGTTTTTTGTTTTTTAAGAAAACTTAATAACTTTTGTTTTGTTTTTCTCTGATAAATCAAATCAGATTTATTTGACATGTCTTCTAATTACCTTTTGTTACATTCAAAATGCAATCAAAATATTTTCAAAATTTTCGCAGAACAGAGGACGAATATTTTCTGTGAAAATTTCTCGGACATTCAGGCTGGTAAATGTTGTTTAATACTATTTATTATGAAAAGAGAATTTACTTAAATATTTGTATCTATAAAAAGAATGTTTTAACATAAAATGTCTTAATATATATATATATATATATATATATATATATATATATATATATATATATATATATATATATATATATATATATATATATAGTTTATAGTGCAACTTAAAGTTTCATGGTATTCATAAGTTGTTTACACCTTATATTAAATTAAGTAAATATTTATTCACTTATTTGTGTATATACAGTTGCTAATGTCTAATTATCTGGTGAATATCCACACTTATATATATATATATATATATATATATATAGGGGAAAAAGTTTTGTGCAATATGTTTCGTACTTTAGGACATTGGACTAAATTTGTGACAGTGTGCACAGATGAGGGATACTGGGAATTTTAATGTTTTTTTTTTATATATAATCTAGCCGATTTCATTTAGATGCATTTTCATTTCATTTGCAACACTTTTTTTATTAGCTATCACCCACTGTCATAATAGATGACATGCCAGGAATGGTGAAATGTTGTAAGAGCCACGGTGCAAATTTACTGTGGATGACAGTGTATTAGATTTAGGTTATGGAATTTTATTTTGTCTTTTTTTATTCATGGTGTGATTTTAGGTAGCATCATAGAAAATTGTTTATTCTATATTTTCAAATGAGTTCAGATCTTTTGTTGAAGAATTATCTTGTTCTGAGAAGGCAATTATCACCATTTTCTTCTCTTGGAAAAGCTTATTGTGTTTTCAGATACTCTTATAATCTGGTGCTGTTTTTTCCTATTTTCCATGTTATTTTTTCGATGTTTTGGTTTTTGAGTTTTTTATATTTTAATAGGGTTGTGCTAATTGCATACTCTTTTGTTGCTAAATCATGTTTTGTATGAATAGCTTCTGTTATTCTTATATATTTTTCTGGGTTTCATTTTGATCTTACTGTAGTTTGGTATATTATCCTAATTTGTAGGCAGTTATCATCTAGTGGACATTGGTACTTTGCCCTCCAGTTACATGTCAGGGTTCTGGGCCTTTGTGTTATACTGGTGATATTTCTGTTGAAGTTTTATGAAAAAAAAATTAAAAAATAATCTACAAAATCCCAATACATGTAACAGGACAGAAAAAAACATCATATTGTTCAACATAATATATAATAAAAATATAACAAGAAATAAAGGTAAATGCTTCAATCTCAGTGACAAATGCTTCTCAAATCCAGAAAACTAGAAAATACTCTAAAACTGAGCTATATGTACACCAATGACATACAACAAATCATAAAAGCAAATATAGACACTGTCATGGGTCATTACCTATAACTACAGAATGAACTCTTCCTAACATTATGTGTACTATGCCTCTCAAGAGAGAGGGTCGAATCGAGTCGAGCCGATAGTAGTTCACTCCAAACCAGACTGACAGTCATACTAACACCTTCCACATCTTGTATTATTATTTCGTATAATATACCTTTGTTATTTCTACTCTTGTGTTCGTGTTGTTCTTCCTTGGTCCTAACCTGGACCATAACAGACACACATACAAAATGCAGTTTGATAGATGTTTACAAATAGTTTGACTTTTGGTTGCTTCGTAAGTAAATATTGTTCATTTATATTTGAGTCAATAAGCAATTATTTTGTTTAGCGATGAGTAAATATTGGTCATAAATACTTTCATTGTAATTGTTCTGATCAAATTCTCTTTATGGTACCTAGACTTCATGAATTTAAGTGCAGTACTAGATTGGTGGAAAGGTCTCATCATTCCACAGGTGAAATGGCTAGATGCATCTGTAAGTTCTATGCTAACAGTTTTTTTCTATTGTATTTCTCATCTCCAAGCTTCTTAATCAACTTTGATCTTCAAAAATTTAAATGCAATGTCAATTTACTGTCTTCGTAATTTTTATTCTTTTATTGTTCTCTCTACTTAATAGTGTTCTTTCCTCAGATTCTCTAACATTCAGTAACAACTTGCAACTTAGTGGCTTTATTACCTTGCTTGTGGCGAAATGATTAAAAAACAATTAGAGTCTCTCAGTATTTATATGATTTGGGGATAGGTAAATATTGTTGAGCTAATATGCAATTACTTGGTTTGGATATACACTACAGTTCAAAGTTTTGATGTGACCCCTGGTAATTTTTTAAATTGGCCCAAAAAGTAGTTATTTTGTACTTTAGATAAAAGAAAATTATTATATGGGGTTAAAAAATGAAAAATGATTTTTTTTTTTAGAAATTTTTTGATTAATTTTTGCTCTCATCAAAATATCCTCCTTTAGCCTTGATTACTGCAACACAAATTTTTGGCATTCATTGTAAACGTTTCTCAAAGTATAAGTATGCTAATTGATTGCATTCTTTTTTCAGTGACTCTAAGAACTCTTTTTCATTTCTTTTCGTTCTTCTGCCATGTTAAATCTGGGGGTTCTTCGAATTTTTGAACTGTAGTGTAAATATAAATGACTTATTTTTACTTGAGTCAGTAAGCATCTACTTGGTTCAAAGAGAAGTAAATACTGATCATTTATATTCAAGTCTATAAGTATTTACTTGGTAGATAGACTGTTTTGGTTGGTCTTGTACCCTGGCAGTGGATAAAGTCATGGTAATCTATTCACTGTCAACAGAACAGAGATTGAAATGACATGCTATATATTGACACACAGGAGTGAGATGAACTGATAGAGATGAAGAGAGAGAGAGAGAGCAAGGTATTGAAATATACCATGAATACTGATCAAATATGCCATATATTTTGTTTGATTTTGCATCTGGGAAAAAGTGGAATGACTAAGTTATTAGAATCACCAAAGATTTATAGTTATAGAGAAAGGGAAAAAAAAATGAAAAAAAGGAAAATGTTCCATATATACATTGAAACCTCCCTCCGCCCCACACCCAGACAAACATTCACTTGATTTTCTTTCTTAATGTAATATGTTGATGCATTGAGAAAGATACCATCTTATATTTTATTGACTGGCAGATTTCAGTCACAGAAGCATGCCTTGGCCGCTTCTGCTTTATTCTGTCTTTTTTCATTTGCATCGTGCATCAGGCAAGTCATTTTTATGTGCATCAAAAGATGTCGTCCATTAATGCAGGCACACATTTCCACCCTACAACCTCTTTTCCACAGTTGAAAAGTCACAAACCTTTCACTGCTCTATTATCACATGAAAAGTGCTCAGACAAACTACATTCCTTAGTTCTAGCCTTAATGGTAAGACCTGCCACACCTTCATCTCCTTTGTATCCCATTTGTGAGATGTAAGTTCCACTCAAGCAATTTCTACTCATGAAGTACTGCTTTGCGGAACTGACTCCGAAGCAGATGCTTCCCTGGTCACTACAATCTTAACCTACTCAAATCTCAGGTTAACCATTATCTTCCTCATATATCCTCAGAAATTGTACCTCTTATTCTGTAATCCTCTACTCCAAGTGGCTCTTGAACCTTGTGCAGAGTGAAAATCATTGTGTGTGTGTGTGTGTATATATATATATATATATAAAAGAAATATGTTGTAGTGGTTCCAACGAGAGAAAAGTATGTATATTAAAAAGAAGAGGGTGCATAAAACGTTTTTGGTTGTAATGTGGATTTATTGAGAAAAATATTATACTTTGTTTTACATAATTTCGACACGTGTTTCTGGTCTGGTCTCGCAAACCGTCTTCAGGTGAAAGTGGAGATTTTTACATATTATTAAAAAATAATTAATTTTTCTTCATGTTCAATGTGGAATATTCTCGATATGAGACATTCTGTTTGTGTTTGGCAATCCGAATTTTCTTTCTAGAATTGTCAATGAAGAGTTCTGTGTGAAGGGTCATAAAACAATTAAGGTTTGTCCAGCGAGTAGTTATCGGCATTTAATCTTTTAATGTTTTAGTGACCTCTATGTGTGCTCTTGGATCTGTTTCTATTTTGGCGTGTTCCTGTCAGCATGCGTGTATATATGCGTGCGTATATTTCCTTACTACGAGGAATTCGTAAACTTATTTGTACTTATACACGCATACACACACATACGCACATACACACTATCCCACCACAAGTAGTCAGTACACACACATATACACAGATATTTCCCAAGCTACATGGAACCAGTACACACACACACACACATACATACACACACACACACACACTTTTAAGTTGTCAACATCCGCATATACATACATAAATGTATGTATGTGTACATACATATATATATCTCCTCGTGTCTCCCGTATATGAGTGTGCGTCCATGTATGTGAGCGATCATTGTATTTGGTCACCCTGTGTGCATGTTTTTTTTTTTTTTTTTTTTTGGGGGGTTATGATCTATTCAGTTCGGGTTTGAATTTGTCTATAAAGTTTTTTTTCCTGTATTTGTAGATACGAGTAATTGTCTGTTTGATATATCGGCATGATATTAAACTTACCCTGGTTACATTTGAAAATGTGTTGTGATACAAAAAGTTTTCTGTTGTCTGTCAATTTTATATTGCTTTTGTGTAGGGAGACCCTGTTGTTCAGTTGTTGGCTGATGCCTATATATGACTTCTTACATTTTGTGCATTTAAGTGCATAAACTACATTTTTGGAGTTGCAGTTTAAGTTTTTGTTTATTGTGAATGTTTTTTGGGGTTTTCAAAAGTGTAGGAGTTTCCTTCTATAATGATGTCACAAACTCCACATCTTTTTTGTTGCATTTTGTGACTCTCTGTATTTTGT